TTAAAAATATAAAATATGCATACTGACTGACGGTTGATTGTGATTGTTGGATACCGATTATTTGATTATGATTTTTTATGATTATACAATGATAATTTTTTAATGACTGATAATTATTGCCGAGTTGGACGACTCGTGGCATGACTGACAGTGCTCTTGCCTCGCATACTGATTGTCTGTGGTCCAAATCACTAACTGGGTGGAAATGTTGATCATGTTTCCTGATACTTGCTGTCCGTATTCACTTAGCAGTAAGTAGGTACCTGGGCATTAATTGACTGGTGTTAGTCACATCCTGTTGAATAACTGCTGAATTGTGAGTGTTGGATGATGGATGAATATTATGCCGTCTGTTTAACTGAATGATTGTGACTGTTTGATGGCTGATTATTAAAAATTGTAATTATTGGATGGTTGGTCGATGATTGTTGAATGACTGTGATTGTTGAACAGTTGATGATTGATTGAATAAATGCAATTTATGAATGTGGGATGATGATTGCTAGATAACTGTTAAATGATTGGATTGCTGGATGGTGATGACAGGAGAGCAAGGTCACTGACTTTTTTTGGGTTATGTTACTATGTATGATATTGTGTGTAACTGTATTTATGTGTATGTACTTGTACCTAAATAAACTTAATTACATTTGTTTGTAATATATTAAAGTCAGTCAATATTAAACAAAATTACTGAATCAAGTAATCTGTATTTACGTTTGTATCTTATCATACACAGTCTATAGAGATATTCCAATGACAAATTATGATAATCTAGGACATCTCGAAAATTTCTCAAGATTACATGAACTGGGAAGGACCGAAAGTTGAGGCTCATACAGCACCTGGCGGATGGGAGATTGTCAAGTTTGATCCAAGGAAGAAGAGGGTAGCTATAGTTATTTGTATCAAGATCACTTCAGCATTGAATACTCTGCACTTAATACTGAAGAATCAAGTCCTCTAGAGGTGTGTAATATCTCTAATTTTAAAATAATTATCAGGTCAAATATATACAATTATCAGATACTTGAAGTGCAGTATTATGTACAATAAAAAAAATATTAAAACTTTTATTGAATGTCCTATTATATACGAAAAGATCAAATTTGTGAGTTGAAAGTGTGCAGGATGGATGATTCAAAATGAATCTGAATAACATAATCTATAATGAAGATCAAAATTTTGGTTTATAAGGTCAGCAGGATGGTTATTTAATATAAATTAACCATCCTGCTGACCCTGAGAGAAACAGCTTCACAACCAATATTGTCTGACACAACTGTGAGTATTACTGTCTGACACAACCAATATTGTCTGACACAACCAATATTAACCAAGCTTTATAACAAATCTTCCTGAGAAATCAACTCGACAGGAAATCAAGGACCCCAACGGAAATTCAAGGACCCTAATGGAAATATGCCACTTTGAATTCTTTTGGGAATTATCTTAGGTAATTTACACATATACTACTATGTATACTAATTTATTCAAGTATGTGTACCTATACGTAAATAAAGTTAGTATTATAAGATGCAGACACCAGCACCACCATGACCCACTTCCGGCTACCAACTAAGTCTCTTCAACAGTATCTCTCTTAATAAATCACAATGATCTTCCCCACCTCCTCCTCCTCTAGGTATTATCAACAGCCATATAACTGACCTGTAGAGTGTGAGAGAGACACTCCAGCGAGACACTCCAGGAAGACTCTCTCAGCTCCACCTCAGATGTTCCAGCTGTTAAAGTGCCACTAAAACTCACACCATAAATACCACTTCTGGGAGTCAGCGGGAAAAATGTTGCCTATTATGTACCTCTGTAATGTTGTGGTACAATATCTGGACCTATTATGTACCTCTGTAATGTTGTGGTACAATATCTGGACCTATTATGTACCTCTGTAATGTTGTGGTACAATATCTGGACCTATTATGTACCTCTGTAATGTTGTGGTACAATATCTGGATCTATTATGTGCCTCTGTAATGTTGAGGTACAATATCTGGACCTATTATGTGCCACTGTAATGTTGAGGTACAATATCTGGATCTATTATGTGCCTCTGTAATGTTGAGGTACAATATCTGGACCTATTATGTACCTCTGTAATGTTGAGGTACAATATCTGGACCTATTATGTGCCACTGTAATGTTGAGGTACAATATCTGGATCTATTATGTGCCTCTGTAATGTTGAGGTACAATATCTGGACCTATTATGTACCTCTGTAATGTTGAGGTACAATATCTGGATCTATTATGTACCTCTGCAATGTTGAGGTACAGTATTTGGACCTATTATGTGCCACTGTAATGTTGAGACACAATATCTGGACCTATTATGTACCTCTGTAATGTTGAGGTACAATATCTGGACCTATTATGTGCCTCTGTAATGTTGAGGTACAATATCTGGACCTATTATGTACCTCTGTAATGTTGAGGTACAATATCTGGACCTATTATGTACCTCTGTAATGTTGAGGTACAACACCTGGACCTATTATGTACCTCTGTAATGTTGAGGTACAACATCTGGACCTATTATGTACCTCTGTATTGTTGAGGTACAATATCTGGACCTATTATGTACCTCTGTATTGTTGAGGTACAATATCTGGACCTATTATGTGCCTCTGTAATGTTGAGGTACAATATTTGGACCTATTATGTACCTCTGTAATGTTGAGGCACAATATCTGGACCTATTATGTGCCTCTGTAATGTTGAGGTACAATATCTGGACCTATTATGTACCTCTGTAATGTTGAGGTACAATATCTGGATATATTATGTGCCTCTGTAATGTTGAGGTACAATATCTGGACCTATTATGTACCTCTGTAATGTTGAGGTACAATATCGGGATCTTATTTTACCTCGTAATGTTGAGGTTACAATACCTGGACCTATTTGTACATCTGTAAGGGTTGAGGAAACAATATCTGGACCTATTATGCCCCCCTCGGAAATGTTGAGGTAAATATCGGGGATCTATTTTTCCCTTTTAAATGTTGGGGTACAATATTGGATTATTATGTCCCTCTGTATGTTGAGGTTACATATCTGGACCTATTATGTGCCTCTGTAAGGTTGCGATACAACATGCTGTATTATCCCCCCCACCTTTGTGGCCCGGGGGCCCTGGTGGCTAAAGCTCCCGCTTCACCCACGGGGGGCCCCGGGGTTTCGTTCCCGGGGGGGGAAAACTTTCCCGGACACTTTTCCTTAAAACCGTTGTCCTGTTCCCCTAGCAGCAAAATGGGTTTCCTGGGTGTTAGTCGCCCTGGTGGGGGGGTCGCACCCGGGGGGGCAAGATTAAGGCCCCCCAATGGAAATATTTGGGACAGCCCCGATGACGCATGACTTTTTTTGGTTACCCTGGGGGCAAACCCCCCGGGGGTTTTAAAAATCGAACGAAACCCTTATCTTATTGGGCCCCGTTGTTTTTGTTTTGTGCACATGTGCTGAAATTGGGGGTACTTTTAAATAAAATTTATAATCCCAATTTTTTTCTGAATTATTGTTTTTAAATTTTCCCTTGGTTAGCTCTTGGGGAGAGCTTTGGGGACTGAAAAATTAAGAGGGGCGGTTCGATCCCACCCTAAACCCTTTCTGTTTATTAATGGACAGTTGTTAATGAGGAAAATTTAAGAGTCCATTGTTGATAAAAGGTACTGTTGTTAATTAAATTAATTTGGGGTTTTTTATCCCATAACTAAGAGTGGGGTTTCGGGGTAAGTTTATTCGGGTATACAAAAAATTCTTTTTTACATAGAATTATCTTACATAGCAAAATATGTGTAGAAAAACCTAGGAAAACCCCAAAAAAAAAAGTCAGACAGAGTGACTTATTTCCATTGGGGTATCTTTGGGATATCTTTGTTTGTGTTTTAAGTTTCATCCTGGGATTTCAAATTAAAATTCAAAATTTTTCCCCCCCCCCCCTTAAGGTTTTCAATGGTGGTTTACGAATTTGGTTACTGTTTGGTTTATTTTTAGAAAAATTTAAAAAAATTACAGAGTGTACCATTTAGAAACCCTACCCTGGCTAGGCATTTCGGGCAGATTAAATTAAATTTTAAAGTTTAAAAAAATTACAAATTATGAGGTAATTTGGTATTATGGTTTAAGTGATAAATACTAGTTTGTGAGTTTAAAAATGTGAATGCTTTTTTTTTTGGCACTTCCCTAGTTTCGTATTGGAGTATCACGGGCCCAACTTATGACTATTTAAAGATTTTATTTTGAAAAATTGAGTTATATTTCTTTTTATGGTCAAATGGTGAGGGGAGGGGTTAAGTGTAAACCCCCAGGTGGTTTTTCGTGGTTTTTAGTTAATTGAGGGGGGTTGTATCAGGGGGGTAAGTTGTTTTCAAAGGGTAGTTTTGAAGGGTGTGAATGTGTCTGCAGTTTTAGAATTTTCGGGTGGGGGTGTTCCATTTTTTGGGGCCCTTTTGCATACTTTGGGAATTTTTGTAAAGGGTTTGTCTGACAGGGGGAAATTGTCAGGGGATTTTTGGTTTGGTGTTTTTTTGCCTGTGGGTTCTGTCAAAAATTATAAAAAAGGGCATTTTAGGTAAAGGTTAATATTTGGAGTTTATGGTCCTGTAGATGTAGATTGCACAGTAGTAAGTGTGGTTTGTTACTAAAACGGGGAAAAAAAGTTTGATCTATAAAGAGTGGGGGTTGTGTTGCCAGGGATGGGATTTAGTGATTTTTCTTCGGGCAGTTTTTTGTTGGGGGAAAAAGTGAAAGAAATGAAACCTCCATAACCTGGAGTTTCCCTGGAGAGATTTCCCGGGGGGTCAACCCCCCCGCGCCCCGGTCTGGGGCCCGGGGCCTCCGGGGTCCCCCGGGAGCCTGTTTCAACCGGGCTTTGCTCCCTTGGCTGCACGCAAACCAACGTACGACCCCAAGCCCGGCGGGCAGGAACCGATTTTAGGTGCTTGTCCTTTTGCCAGTTTGGGAAAGACTGCCAGGGGTTTTTGGGTAATCCCCCTGTCCCTTTTGCAGGTCCCCTTGTTTGAAAACAGAATGCTAAACCCTCAAATGTTTGGTAGTGGAAGTTTTGCAGAAAAGGGTTTCGAAAACCCCAAAACCTAGTCATTGTGGTAGTCTACAAGCCCCCGGGGGGATGCCAACATCCCAGCAATTCCGGGAAAAACAGCTGTTAAAAATTGACCACTGTCAAAAAAAACCCTTCCGGGCCCCTTTGCCCCCCAACATCTTTTTCCCTGGGGGTTTTTCAATTTAAGGCACTAAAAGGGGGAATTTAGAAAATTTTAATATTTTTGCAGTAATAAACCAGGAGGCAGCTTCTTATGAAAAAACTCACATTTCACGCGAGCTTTTAAATTTTCTGCAAAAAAATTTTCCCTTTTAAAAACCAAACCCAATTTAATGACCCTAAGACTGGGGAAAAAAATAGCCCTCATCTTCACTAAAAATGGAAATGATCTGATAAGAAATGTCACCATATCAAAAACAATATACTCGATACAAAATAATTGAGGTTCAGTCATGTATGCGCGGGCCCCAGACCGACATAATGTTTTTAGTCACGAGGGAGATTCCCCAAAATTTCAATTTCCCAATAAAAAAAACATAAAGTGGGGAAAGGAAAACCCAAAAGTCCTAACCGATTAAAGGGGGAAAGTTTTTTAACTTTTACAAAAAGGCCCCCAAAATTTTTCCCTTTAGAAAAAGTTTTAACTCGGTGGCCCCTCAAAGTATGCAAAAGGCTTATTCCTCTAAAAAAAAGGAGGGAAGTGATTTTAAAATGAAAGAGACAGGGCCCCCTTTTACAGGCAAAGGGAAAAAGGAAAAACCCAGAGCGGCTAAAAAGAGGTCAATATTATCTGAAATGCGTAGGGAGACACGGGTTTCAGAGGAAAATAGAAAGGGCATCAAAATTAAGCAAAAAAGAATCCTTTAGGAGTCGGGAAAATCGGGGAAGAACAAAAAAGCCAAAAATAAAATCGAAAAAAAAACCCCAAAGTTTTCTTCTCCTTGAAAAAATAAAAATCGGGGAAAAAACGTCCAGTTTTGGGGCCCCCTACTTAAACGATGGGTCTACACAGTTGACGGCAAGGAAATGAGTGAGCTACTCAAGCCCCAAATATGACTCAGTTTTTACAACCCCGTAACCAGACTGAGAGTCGAAGATCAAAAAAAAAAATTTTTTTTTTTTTTGGGAAAGAGACCCAAAAAATTTGTTTAAAACAAAAGGGCCAAAATCCGATTTTATCCTGAGGGCCAAATGACTTCAAACCCGGGAAAAATGCCCATCCCCATGCACTGGGCCCCCAAGGGCCGGGACTCATGGAAAATCTGTTTTCATAAGAACGGGCAAGGGGCCCATATCACGACCCTTTTTCCCAAATCCTATGGAGAGGGAGGGGACCGGGGGTCGTCCCACATTTAAACTAAAAAAAAAAGGACATACCCCCACTCCACAAAGGGGGCAGTAAAGCAACAGCAAAAAAACTACAGCCCCAATAGCCCCTAACATCCATATCAAAAAAAATTCTTTAAAAGGGCCTAAGAAGCAATTCCCAACCACCCACTAAAAAACCCATCGTACAAAAACCCAGGGAAAACAGGGGTTTTTAGAAAAGGTCCCCCCCCCTGTCTGTCTCAACTATTGGATCACTACGAAAAGGGGCCCCTAAATGCACTAGAAGACAAAAAAAAAAAGGCAGATGTAATATTCACAAGGGTGACCATGGCTTAATACCCCCACAAAATGCTTTTGTAAAGGTAACGGGAAAAAGTGGTCGATGGAT